CCATTTTTCTGTGTGTCTGACAATGATTTTCACAGACATGGAAAACCTTATTCTCAAATTCATAGGACACTGCAAGGAGTCCTGAGAAGCCAAAACAGTCCTAGAGATGAAGAATAAAATTGGAGGACTAACACTTCCTGACTTTGAAAGTTACTACAAAGCTACAGTATTAAACTAAAGCACATGGGTGGCTCAGTCAGTTTAGTGGCTGCCTTCAGCTCAGGTCGTGATTGCAGGGTCCTGGGATTGAACCCCATGTTAGGCTCCTTGCTCAGCGGGAAACCTGCTTCTCCCTCTACCTGTCGCTCCCCCTGCTTGTGCTTGCTTTCTCTCCCCCACCCCCCCATCAAATAAATAAATAAAATCTTTAAAAAAAGAAATTGTAAACAAAAAAGAAAAAAATTAAAAATTAAAAAGAAATATTATGGTCCTGGCATAAGGACAGGCAAGTGGACCAATGGAATAGAATAGAGAACCTAGAAATAAACCCTCATATGTCTGGTCAGTTTATTTTCAAAATGGGTGCTAGAACTGTTCAGTAAAGAAAAGGCCCATCTTGTCAACAAATAGTACTGGGAAAATTGAATATCCAACATGGAAAAGGATGGATAAGGATGGATCCAGATCTCATACCCTGTATAAAAAAATTAACTCAAAATTGATCAAAGACCTAAACTTAAGAGTTAAAGCTATAAAATTGTTAGAAGAAAGCATAAGGGAAAATCTTCATCACCCTGGATTTGACATTGGTTTCTTGTATGACACCAAAAGCACAGGTAACAAAAGAAAAAAAATAAATTACACTTCATTATAATTAAGAACATTTTTTAAAAAAAGATTTTATTTATTCATTTGACAGACAGAGATCACAAGTAGGCAGAGAGGCAGGCAGAGAGAGGGGGGAAGCAGGCTCTCTGTTGAGCAGAGAGCCCGACGTGGGGCTTGATCCCAGGACCCTGAGATCATGACCTGAGCCGAGGGCAGAAGCTTAACCCACTGAGCCACCCAGGCACCCCTATAATTAAGAACTTTTATGTGTCAGAGTCAAAAGACAACCTATTCAATAGGAGAAAATCAAGTTTGCAAATCAAGTATCTGTTAAGGGATTAATATTTAGAATATATAATGTACTTCAAAAACTTGACAACTAAAAAAACCCAATTCAAAAATAGGCAAAGGATTTCAATAGAAATTTCTTCAAAGAAGATATACAAATGGCCAATAAGCCCATGATAAGATGTTCAATATCATTAGTCATTAGAGAAATGCAAATAAAAAACCACAGTGAGATACCTCCTCATACCTACTAGAATGGTATTATGGTTTCTCCTTAAAATTACATGTTGAAGTCTTAACCCCCAGTGTGATTATACTTGGAGGTAGTACAGGGAGACCCATTAAAGGTAAAGTTAAATGAAGTCATAAAGGTGGCCCCTAATTTAATAGGACTGGTGTCTTTATAAGAAGAGGAAGAAATACGAGAGATCTCTTTCTGTATATACACAGAGGAAAAGCCATGTGAAGATGCATAGAGAAGGTGGGTGTCTGTAAGCGAGGAAGAGAAGCCTCACCAGAAACCAATGCTGCTGCCACTTTAATGTTGGACTTTGTAGGAGTGCTGACAATACTGACTCCATCTTTTGCTTTCTATCTTGTTCTTGTCTGCACAGTGACCTTCCACAGGGCCACATGTTCCAGGCCTGTTGGAGGTTAGTGTGCACTCTAGCTAGAATGAGGGAAGGTGTACAGATTGTGCCACTTCAGATGAATAGTAGAGATCCCTCTGGCACACAGATAGTGCTACTTTAGATAACTGCCCTTCAGCCTCCCCACAATGATCCCCCTGCTCTATAATCTCTATAGATTAAGTTACAGACTTTGTGGAAAATAGCTGCATAGTGCTGAGATCATCTTTCCACCCGATCCTCCTGTCAGTAAGTTGCCCTAAATAAAAAGCTAAATAGTTTGGAGTTGCTTGGTTTGTTTTTTGGTCTCAAAGTACCTTTTCAGTCCAGAGGATATTTTACTGCCCCTCTTCCACCTTCTAATAGACTTCTGACCTCAAGAATTGTGAGACCATAAATTTCTGTTGTTTAAGCCATCCAGCCTGTGGTATCTTGTTATGACAGCCTGAGCTATCTAATATGTATAATTTTTTAAAACACTGCAAATATGGGGCATTTGGGAGGCTTGGTTGGTTAAGCACCCAACCCTTGATTTCAGCTCAGGTCTTGATCTCAGGGTCATGAGTTTAGGCCCCAAGAACATAGTTAAATAAATACATATGTTTATTCCTGAAAATAAATGTTTGTGAAGATGTGGAGAAATTGGAACTCTTGAGCATTGTTTGTGAAAATATTAACTGCCACAGCCACTGCAAAACAGTTTGTCATTTTTTCAAAAGGTTAAAACATACAATTACCATATGTTCCAGTTATTGCTCTCCTGAGGGTTATATCCAAAAGAATTGAAATCAGGGAGTTGAACAAACGTTTTTAAGTCCATGTTTATAGAAGTATTATTCATAACAGCCAAAAGATGTAAACAACACATGTCCTTTAACAGATTACTGCATAAACACAATATGGTATATACATATAATGGAATATTATTCAACCATATCAAAGAATGAAAGTTTAACTTATTGCAACAACAACATAGATAGACCTTGAAAACATGCTTAGTGAAATAAGTCAGACTCAAAGGGTGAGTAGAGTATCTTCTCACTTGTATGTGAGGTACGCTGAATAATCAAATTAAAAGAGAGAAAGTAGAATAAAAGATATTGAGAGCTGAAGGGAGGAAGAAAGGGCTAATTTTGTTTAATAGAGTTTTTGTTAGGGATGATATAGAAGTTTTAGGTATAGAGTGGTGATGGTTATATAACATTGAGAATATTTAATGCTGATGAATAGTAAGCATGTTTAAGAATGATTAAAATTAAATATTGTGTATATTTTACCATACACGCAGACATGCATATACAAACTCCTAAAAAAAATCACCACTGATTTCACTAGAAAAGTCTAAATATTAGTGGAAACTATCAGGCTCTTGGTGACAAATACAAGGTTTCAAAAATTCTAATATGTGCATGAAAGCTCAGTTTTCCATGACATTACAGATTCATTTTGTTCATTTTCAAGGAAATATCTGACACAAAATGAAGTCTGAATAACCATAATTTGTTTGTTTTCTAGTTAGAAATGGTGTTCCATGAAAAAATCAATTAGGTCAGCTCACAACTTTATCACACAAGTGCTTTGACTTAAGACAACTGTCTCAGTTTGAGCTGCTCTTAACACATATGGCATGGACTGGGTAGCTTAAGTTTATTTCTCACAGTTTTAGGATGAAGGTGCCAACAGATCTGGTATCTGGTGAGGGCCTGCTTTGCAGATGGCTATCTTCTTGTATCCTCACATGGCAAGTAGCAGAAAGAAAGGAAGCAAGCTATCTTGTGTTTCTTTTTATAAGGGCACGTACTCCACTCATTAGAACTCTACCCTCATGACTTAATTACCTCCTAATACCTTCATATTAGGAGCTAGGAATTCAAGACACATTCAGTCCATAAAAATAGCCATTATACTTTGATAATGCTGCAAAAGTGCTTTATGCTTTCATCCCATTTTTTTAAAAAAAGATTTTATTTCTTTTTTAGAGAGTGGACAGTGGTGGGGGATGGGGGAGAGCAGAGGGACAGGGACAAACAGACTCTGAGCTGAGAATGGAGCCTGACTTGGGACTCAATCCCAGGACCCCGAGGCTATAACCCAAGCTGAAACCAAGAGTTGGGACACTTAACCAATTAGCCGCCTAGGCGCCCCCCATTTTTTTCTAATTGTGATTTAAAACCACATAAAAATTTCCCATTTTAATCATTTTTAAGTGTACAGATCAGGAATGTTAAGTATCTTCACATTGTTGTGAAACATTTCCAGAACTTTCTATAACACTAAAGCTTTTGTCCCATTTTGTCACACGCAGTAAGACAGGTAGGTACTCAAGGCTTGAGATTTCACATAGTTAATTTTTTTTGCTCCATCAAGGAATCTTAAGTTGAAACTGGCATTTTTAAAAACTTGCCCATGCATTGCAGTGAATAATACAATCACTAGTATGTAAAGTTTGTGCCACTGCCTCAATTTTCATCAGTCATTTTCTACACCATTGCTTTAGTAACTATTCAGTACAAATGTGAACACAGTGAAAAGGGCAAATAATACCTTAGTGTTATTGTGAAAAACGGTCTTGTGTTACAAATTTTCTGAAGAGTTCCTGGGAACCCCTCCAAGCATCCACAGACAACACATTGAAAACCACTGATTTAGATCACAGTTTTAGGAAGATCACTTTGAAGCAAAAACAAAAAACAAAACACAGGAAGATCACTTTGGTGGTAGGATAGAGGAGGGAGATTGGAAAAATTGGGAGACCAGTTAGTTTGAGTGAAAGAGGAAGGAAACCTGAATTTGAATAATGGAATGCAGACAAAAAGGAAAAGACCGATTTCAGAGATATTTCAGAAATGAAATTGATGTACAGAATTGCAAGTATGTCTTTGGACTCATGAAATTGTTATCTTTGTGCCAGATATTATTTCTCATTTCCATTTATCCAACTTACTTCATTTACTTAATTACTCATGAAAATTGAAAATTTCTCCCCTACATAAGAAACTAAACTAATAATAGATCTGGAGGAGGAATAAGCTAGCTATTCAGTTATCTGCTTCTACTTACTGCTTTAATTTGAGAATTTATAACCATGTTTATAACCATGTTCCTTATCATCTTCTGAATATACCTGTTAAATATGCTATTTAAACATAAATAGCAATTAGATTTTTATGTCATTAATTTATTGTTAGGGACTAATGTCTTTTCACTGTTCAGATGCAATAACGAACAAGTAACACAGATTGTTTAAACACTTGGTTTAAACACTTGGTTCTTGATATTTCAGTTTGAAGGCTTTTTTCCCCCCTCCTCAAACAGCAGTTCAAATGCTTCACCTTCAGAAGGTGCACCACTAGTAGGAAGTTATGGATGTACTCCTCAATCATTCCCAAAGTTCCAGCACCCTTCTCATGAACTTTTGAAGGAAAATGGCTTTACCCAACAAGTGTACCACAAGTATCGTCGAAGATGTCTAAGTGGTAAGATGCTTGTCCTTTATGTAGCTATGTTTAAAACTAAAATATATTTTTAAATGTGACATTTAATATCAGGTGAAGATATTCTTTTATTTTGTTATAATTACCTTAAGTAAGTATTCATGTGTTTTGTAGCTTAACTCATTAAGAAATAAAGTTTAGCATATTCTTATTAGTACTGACGAATGCTTAGATTTGAGCAATGAGTCAGGAAATGGATTAATATTTGTCCCTTACTTAGAAGAAACCCAAATACATTTTGGAGATTAATGTGTTTTAACGTTCCTTGTTTTAGGTTATGTAAAATGTCTGCTGCTTTGACTTTAATAAGTTTCTTTAACAAAAAAATGTTTTATTATTTTAACTTTTTCCAGAGAGAAAACGCTTGGGAATTGGCCAGTCCCAAGAAATGAATACCCTCTTTCGTTTCTGGTCCTTTTTCCTCAGAGATCACTTCAATAAAAAAATGTATGAGGAATTTAGACAACTTGCTTGGGAAGATGCAAAAGAAAATTACAGGTCAAATATTTTCTCATATTTTTACAGTTAAAGGGAGTTTTCAAAAAAAGAACACAAAAGCTAGTACTGAAGTAGCCCTGTTTGAACTACGAAAGTAGCACAACATAACTATAGAGAGGGCTATATTAGTTTCCTATTGCTGCATTGCAGATTATCCCAAAACTCAGAAGATTAAACAACAAGCATTTATTAGTTTACAGTTCCTAAGGGTCAAGATCCTAAGAACAGCTTAGCTGGGTGGTTCTGACTTAGATGTCTCATTTGCAGTTAAGGTGTTAGACCAGGATGCCGTCTCTGAAGACTTGACTCAGGCTGGAGGAGTCAAGCTTATTCACATGGCTGTTGGCAGGAAGTTTTAGTTCTTCACCACATAGGCCTCTCTCTCAGTGGGCATTTAACAACATGACTTCATCCAGAGCAAATAATCTAAGAAAGATGGAGAACTTCCAAGATGGAAGCCTTGGTGTCTTGTATAACCTATGCTTGAAAGTGACATACCATCACTTCTGCCATGTTATATTGTTCACACAGACCAACCCTGGTACCATACCTGGTAGGAGGAGACTACCCAAGGTTGTGAATATCTGGAGGTAGGATCATTTGGAGCCATCTTAGGGGCTGGCACAAAGGCCAAATGAAATTTGAAAGAGCCACTAGAGACTTCCCTTGCATATGCATATACACCCCAAATTGATAAATACTTAGAGCCAAACTAGTTGTGAAGATGACTTGAGCCAAGAAAAAATAAGGCCTCTTATCATATGTCTAGACTCATCTATCAAATCTCACTTTTTCCTGCTAGTGCTCTAGTTCTCTAGGCAACAGTGGTACAGAATGTGTTCTCTGAATGATCTAAACTCTAGTCTCTAGATGTCTATATATATTCTCTTCTTCCTCCCTCTGCTTTGCTAACTCATTCTTTTCATCCAGGTTAGACCTTGTTTCTTTGAGAAATGTTCAGAATAAGCTTTGAGAATGTTTATACCAGACTAAAAGGGTGAAAAGAAACATGAAGTAGGCTCTTGTACACTATTCCTGGAAAATGGTAGGAGGAAGAAGAGATGGAAAGAAGAAAAAAAGAATTTTACACTCACTGTTTACTCAAATTTAGCATTCTTCAAGTTCTACTTATAAGTCTTAAATAAGAATATATTGTTAATCAGTTATTGTAATCTTTCAGAGGAATACAAGATGCTGCAAATAAATTTTTCTGGAATAAATTACATTTGCCCTGACATATATAAAAATAAAGACTATTTAATTTTCTCCCAGAATCTTTATCTTGATCAGGAATGACAGATACATAGTATGTTTACCTCTGTTTCTCTCTTCTGTTATTACTGACATCTCTATTCAAACCCAGCACTGTTTAATGTTATTCTTGAATTCAGATCTATAGTCTTATCAAAATTTTGATAGCTACTGCCAGTTTACCTGAGTTGGCAAAAGGGCAAAATTTGCTATTTCTGATTTTGATGTTCTCATTGAAACAGTGATGTGCTACCCGTTAATGGGTTGTGAAGTCAATTTACTGGTTTGAAAAATATCAGACTGCACTGAACATAGTAAGGCTAAATTTTTTCACAATTAATACATACATGCAAATTTAAGAATTATTGCAAAACTTATCTATGTTTTTAAGTGCACACATTATATGTGTGAGTGTTGTGTTAATTTGGTCACCAGATAAAATATTTTTCTTAATATTGGATATAGAAAAGTTTGAAAGTCATTGTTATAATTATAAAATAATTTTTATTTAATTTTTAAATATAAAATATTTATATTTTTTATAAAATAAAAGATTTTATTTATTTATTTATTTATCAGAGAGAGAGAGAGAGAGAGAGAGCACAAGCAGGGAGGATGGCAGGCAGAGCAGGCAGAGGGAGAAGCAGGCTCCCCGCTGAGCATGGAGCCTGATTTGGGACTGATCCCAGGACCCTGGGATCATGACCTAAGCCAAAGCAGTTGCTTAACCGACTGAGTCACCCAGGCACCCTGTTCACTGTTATAATTAGTCTCAGGATATTTTGCTCTTTTTGCAAACACTTTGTTTGGTCTTCAGGACTTTCTAATAACTTTTCTGATATGCCTGTGACCATCCAAGGCTAGGTTGGGGCTTCTTCTGTGTTCCTATAGTTGTCCGTGTATTTTTCTAGTAGCTTTTTAACACATCATTTTGGGTCTGTTTCTGCAATGTTCGTGACTAGCCTGGATTAGCTCTTCTGTAGGAAGTATGACATAGTGGTTAAGTGTCTGAAGGTTTTGAAATCATACCTAAATTTGAATCCCAGCCTATTAATTACTGTGAGCTTGACAAGTTATTATTCCCGTGAGATTTAGGTTCTTTATCTATAAAGTAGGGGAAATTATGGTAGATACACTCAGAGGGTTATTGTGAAGATTAAGCAAAACAGAACATGTAAAGGTCTTAACATATGATACACAGTAAGTGCTTAATAAATTGTTACTGTTATTAGAAAGATCAATACTTAATCTATCCATTGACTAAATTTAGCAGTAAGATGATTTCATAAGGAAGGAGAGAAATAACTTACGTATCTTCAATGTGCCAGCTCTGGTCTAAATGCTTTACAAATATTATGTCATCTATTCTTAAAAAGTAGGATATTGTTATCCCCATTTTTAGGGATATAATTACAGGGCTAGAATTCAAATGTAGCTCTTTCTGCTTCTCAGCCTTTATGTTTTCCATTCATCTAAGCTGTCTCATAATGAGGAGTAAATGAGTAAATAACAACTGAGAGGCTGGCCATTTGCCCCTGCTCTTCACTCCAGCAGTTATGCTGCATAGTTGGGTTGTTATTAATGTCATACTTTTGGTCTTTGGAATTGGTTTACCAAAAAATAAGACTAAAAATCCAAATATTGTAGTAGTCTATTGGCCTTTACCAAGATAAACTAATGTATAACAAATATCAATATAATTTCCCATAAGAAAGGTATCAAGGCAGATTTGTCATTTCTGAGATGGTGGTTCTTTAGTCCTTAGTCCTTAGCCTTCAGTCATACAAGCTTAAAGAAGAGCATCACTTACGGCTACCAAAGCAAAGAGCTCAGGTCAGTGGGTGGGTGTGTAGTTGGTAGTCCTACATTTCTCTTGGTGGCTTGCCAAGAAACGGAAAGTGATAATCTGTCCAGAATAAATAAGTTTCTTGGCAAATAAGAAATCTTGCAAATAAACTAGTAGTTATAAAAGACACACACTCACCGCTTATTGTGAATAAAAGCTACGCAAAATTATGTTACTGGTAATGAAGAAACTGTAGTCTTTATTCCACTAAGGCACTTAGAACAACTTAAGGATCCTAACTGAGATATCTTTTAATTGTGACATGTTTTAGTTGAATAAGCTAGACTTGGTCCTTTTACTGCTATCTTGTTAACTTTGTTCATTCTTATGGGTTCTAGTCATCACCATTAATTAAAGGTTGAGCCCATGTAGTTTGCTAATACACAGTCCAAAATTTGTCTTGGGTTCTCTAGGTAGTTATAGAAGAATACAAGGAAATTTGTTTTCTGATTTTTGTAGTGATTACAATTATTTTAGCAAAATATCTTTTATGAAATGTACTTTATAACTAAAGCAGGGAAGATCTGTTAGGAGCCATTTAATTATCTTTGTCACTTATAGTTGAATGGATCAATTACACATAAGGTCTAGGGCACAAGAGTATAGTCTTTCTTTTTAGTAAAGATTATGTTCAGAAGGATCTAAAACCATGCATTATACCTTAGTTTGGAAAAAATCTAAAGCATTCCCAATGTCACTAAATCTTTTGACCATGTCTTCAGAAATACCAAGGAGAGATCCTCTGTCTGTCCAAAGCCACACCATAGTTGTCCACGGGCTGCCTCATTCTGCAGGTTCCCAGTATATGTCCATTAGGTGCTATGGCTGAGTGAACAAAAATACCAAACCATCTATGGATTACTAAATAACCACTTCAGCTAAAAAAACTGCATACTAAAAATTATACAACTTTAAGCCTTTATTTTTTTGCTTGGGCAATTTTTGTCATGTTTGCTTCTATCTCATAGATGTTCACATTGTCATAGCAAAATTTTTATTATAAACCTTTAATTTCCTTTCTACAGGTATGGATTAGAGTGTCTGTTCAGGTTTTATAGTTATGGACTGGAAAAAAAATTCAGACAAGAAATTTTTAAGGATTTCCAAGAAGAAACCAAAAAAGACTACGAATCTGGTAAAACAACAAAACAAAAAACTGCAATAATCTTATTTTATTTGCAAATTGTAAACCTGAGTCAATAAAAAGGGAAGGAGTTCATAACTATTTTCTTCAGAGTAGGACATTTAAGACCTTCAGGCCACTATTATGGTTCTTGATGAAGGTTATGGGGTACGGTATAATAAGAAGGTCATTCCTGTGAGGTGTTGGAAAACAACTATGCCCAAGTGTTTCCTTTATGGAGTAGTATTTTACTATTTTTCCCTTGACAAACATGAAGATAATACTCACTGATGTTCCATTACATGAAAATTCTTTGTAATATCAGCACATATGTTTGGAAAGATGGACTAGCACAGTGGGTAACAGTGCAAGTTTTGGGCTAGATTCTTACGTAGATCTGAATCCCATTTTCACCACCTGATAGCTGTGTGACTTTGGTTAAGTTACTTTACTTTGTTAGCCTTAGTTTACTTGTCAGTAATATACATAAGAGCACCTATATTACAGGTTTTTATATGGTTCAAATTAGTTTAATACATAAAAACCACTTAAATAATACCTATTATTGTATAATAATAGGTATTATTGTATAACAAATGCTTACTAAATGTTAGCTGCCATTATTATTACAATGTCTTATTCTCAAGATCTAGATAAAGTATATGCTGGAAGATAAATGGTTAGTTGCTGATGGGGTCATGTTTAATATGAATCATTTTTTAAATTCTATATAATTAATTGTGTATATTTTTCTTTGTTATTAGGTCAGCTATATGGATTGGAAAAGTTTTGGGCTTATCTAAAATATTCTCAATCTAAGACACAGTCTATTGACCCAAAACTTCAGGAATACCTCTGTAGCTTTAAGAGGTTAGAAGACTTCCGCATTGATGTAAGTTTTTTTTTTTTTTTAAGATTTTTATTTATTTATTTGACAGAGCGAGATCACAAGTAGGCAGAGAGGCAGGCAGAGAGATGGGGGAAGCAGACTCCTCGCTGAGCAGAGAGCCCGATGCGGGGCTCCATCCCAGGACCCGGAGATCGTGACCTGAGCCAAAGGCAGAGGCTTAACCCACTGAGCTGCCCAGGTGCCCCATAAGTTTTAAGTCCTTACTTCTGTAGTCTTTTTATTACCTTCATGTTTTGAGCTATCAGTGACTTCTTAACTTTGGTTTTACAATTTTTATTTTTTTAACTTTTTATTTTGAAATGATAATTTTCTAGTTTTGAAATCAAACTTTAAAACAGGTGTAAAGATAGTACAGAGAACTCCCTTATACTCTGTTTATCCAGATTTCCCAAATGTTAACATCTTAGGTAAGCACAGCACAATTGTCAGTTCCCTTTAATTTTGATATGCCCCTGTAATTAAACATTTTATAGATTTAGTAACATTTACATGGATATGTTACTAATTTCTCACTAGCAGTTTGGTAATTTTTAACTTTCTATATAATTTTATTCTATACTTTTCATAATATATGCTGATATAACATGGATTTAAGTTTCCCCACATAATAAAATTAAGACAAGAATATTATATACATATATAAAGACAGAAGAGTAAGCCTTAAACATTTGATATCAAGAGGAAAAGGTAAGCATTAAAAAAAGAATGAGAAGAAAATAAGATAAAGGAAAAAGAGGAAAAAGAAATAAGAATCAAAAGAACAGAAGAGAGAGAGGTGAAAGGAATGCTAGGTCCATCTCTGCTTATATTGTAATATGTTTGTTTTATATTTTGTGTAAATAGGTTTCACGGCCCAGGGACGGAATTAATAGAAGTGCCTGTCTCTGGAATTAAGGTGTATCTAGAGTGGCCTAGCCAGTTCTGTCACAAAGACATCCTTGCTCTGTGATAGTGACTTTTGCCCTATCTGAACAGAAACTAAGAATCCAGGCCTCTGCTTTTAAATACAATGGAAGATTGGAGAAGGAGGTTATGGTCTTAACTTGTCTCCAAAGGAAAATATTGGGCTGGTGGTGTATAGTTCTGGGCTCCCAAATCTTTGTAACTGGAAAGGTCTTGAATGCTGACTTTTTTTGAATGCAGAATACCTTTTTACTGCCTACCCCTCTGCCCCCTGCTTGCAGTCTGAGGGGATTTGGGAGCTTAATGGATATTAATGTTTGAAAATGTTTAAAATTAGTACCATCAATAATGCTGTCCAGTTTCCTTATCCTAGAAATCCTGGATAAACCTTCAGACTCACTGAAGATTATTTGATTTGGTATCTCTTTTTTCCCCCTGCTGCTTTCTTTCATCTGTTAAACGTTATCATTCAAATAAGCCTAGCATAGGAGTTTAGGGTTGGAAGGGACTAGAGTTATAAATGCTTTGCAGTTGACAGAAGTTGAAAAAAAGAAGGAAAATAGCCTCTTTGAAACATTTTCTTGGAGGCAGGGAACCCAGCCTTATATTTATGCCCTGCAATGTAGTTCAAGTCCTAAACATACGAGAGTCTTAATAAATATATGTTGAGTGAAAGAATGAACAAATACTGGTAAGCTGAGTTATGTAAGGAGGAAATTTAAATTGAATACCTTAAATTGCTGTAAAGTTTTTGTTATTCTAATAAAATCTACTGAAATGCCAACGTAGTTTCCTTTTTTGTTGAAAAAGTCTGACCTTAGATCAGGAAGGAGGAAAAGTAGTAAAATTTTCACTAAACTATCTTTCATAATTTGCAGCCCCCTATTAGTGAGGAATTTGGAAGAAAAAGACGTTCATCTACTTCTGGTGAGGACAGTAGTCGTCATAGACTTCCATCTAATTCCTCTACAAAGCCACCAAGTGCTGCTAAGCCTACATCTGCTAATCAGCTTCAAGTCCCAATAAGCTGTCCCAGAAGGAATACTTCACAGGAGTCCAGTGACAATTCACACCGGAACAGTGCTGCCTCAGTCTCAACAGATGGTGAAATGCTTGAGAAATAGACTCTTATGAAAGTTGTTTGCCCTTGAAATCGACATTTACATCAGCATTTATTTGGGAAAAATCTTCTGATGTTTAATTGTGATAATCACAAAAAAGAAAAAGGAAGAAAAGTGGTAGCATTTTTTTTCTAACAAGATAAATTCTAAAAACATTTTCCCTGATGTCATGAGTAAGGATAGTTTTGGTGACCTTTTATAGAGATCCTCTAGTAATGTATTTTGGTCTCAGTATTTCTTTTTCAAAGTAATTGTTTACAAGGACAGCATTCCTTAAATATATACAAAAACAATATAAGGAATGCCTAACGCTTCAGCTCATACTTCTTAAAGAAGATACAGTATGTTGTATTCATCTCTTCTATAGAGCTTTCCTAAAGAATCCAATTACCCTGCTATCAATTCATATTTGAACTTATCAAAAACAAAGGAAGATTACGTATATATTTTTTAAATTCAAAAAAAGAATATAAAGTGATACATTTGCTTTTCTTTTTGACATATAGTTTAAGGAAACTTTTTTTTTAACCAAAATACAATTATATTGCAGTTAAATTGAAGTATAAAATATGTGCATTTTGGGTACTGGGTTTTCCTTTTTTTTTCCCTGTAGTCATACCTCATAATTTCCATAGTTATTGCTGTGCTGGTGTGGAGTGTTCTGAATTGGCATCAGCTGGTTACCTATTAGAAGAGATTTACTTTTTGTGACTCTATAATAAACCAGAACAAGTAATTGAAAACTTGGTTGGGATTGTTTGGAATATTGTTCTAAATCAATTAAATCTTGTCCTGTTTTGAAAGCATCTGCTGTTTGTACATCTACAGGTCAGTATGTCACAGGCAGTCAGATTATCTTCAATTTAAAAGAAGTACTTAGTTTTTCCTTTTTGTTTCTTTTAGTTTTGTTTTATGCTCATGTTTTCAAGAGTTACAGCAAATTGATTTCTAATTTTTATTGCTCTTGCAACTGATGTAAATGGTAGTTTCAGTTTTTGTGGGAATTAAAAAAATAAAGCACTTATTCTAAGTTATTGGAATTGATTTTTAATTATTTTGTTTAGAATATAATTAAAAAGCTTTAATATTCAAATTCTGCTAGTAGAGGACCATTGTATTTTGTGAATAGAGTTTCAGCTATAAACTTATACATTTTTATTTACCACATATATTTTCTTGGCAGAGCAGCTAGTTTAATAACACTAAATTATTATTTTCTTTTTGATGTCTTGTTCTTATAGAATGACAACATTGAGATACATATAATCTTTGGATAAATGGGCTATTCATCAGGAAGTAAGAGATTTTCAATAGTTATTACCCATGCATAAATGATAATCTGCAGTTTTATATTTAATTTTTGGGGGTCATTTTGTTGTGTTAATTTTAAGAAACAGACAAACTTGAATATTCAGAAAATAAATTTTACGTAGAGATGTTGGAAAGGGAACAAAACAACTAAAGGATTAGAATAATAAATTTCTAAATGTTTTCTTAAGTAGATATATAGTTCTTGCTTTTCACTGAGAAATTTCCAGACCATACTTACTAACGTTAAGGGGGTCTCTTGAAAAGATCGAAAAAATTTTCTCAGTATCCTTTTTGTATTGAACCCGTACATCCGAAACCTGTATTTAAGATTATTTCTACTCACCTAAATATCCAAGTGTAAATTTGATTGGAAAATTGTATATTTTATATGAAAATATAGTAATCAATAGTTTTGTGATGTGTACTTAGAAATTTTATCATTATTTGGGACGCCTGGGTGGCTCAGTTGGTTAAGCAGCTGCCTTCGGCTCAGGTCATGATCCCAGCGTCCTGGGATCGAGTCCCACATCGGGCTCCTTGTTCTGTAGGGAGCCTGCTTCTCCCTCTGCCTCTGCCTGCCACTCTGTCTGCCTGTGCTCGCTCGCTCTCTCTAAAAAAAAAAAAAAAGAAATTTTATCATTATTTTGATTATAAATAAAAGTGATACATGTAATTGGGAAATTTAGAAAAGCACAAAGAAGAAAATAAAGTACCTTTTCAAAAAAGAAAAAAAAACCCAATCAGTATCATGCTATACACATAGTGTTATAACTTGCTTTTCCATATATTAGAGGTGAGCACTTATTCATGTCATTATTTCTACACCATGACATTAACAAGTCACATAAAATTCTAACATATACTTCATGTCATATCATAGTTTATGTTTATTTAATCTCCTGTTGAATGTTAGCATGTGGTGAGGTTTGAGCTGTTATAAACAACAATTTAATCACATCCCTACAGATGAATCTTTGTGTATATATCAAATTGGAGTTGCAGGGAAGTTCACATTTATGAAAGACTTACCTTAGTATAGTAATGGTTTTTGTTGTAAAAGGGAAAAATCCGCCTTGGATTTCTTTCAGTTATCAAAAACCGGTACTAAGGTTGGCCTTTTGTAAAAGCAAAGTGGTACAATGAGAACTTGAGGAAAGTGGAGAGGATACTTCTCTTTACATGATTTCAGCTTATTAAAGCTTTCCTAAGAACACACTACTTTCAGATAACAGGGGAAACCTGTACTACGAGGATAAATTCCCAGGGGCTGAAATTCCAGGTAAACATGTATTCCCATTTAACACACTCTAGAATGGCTACACAGTTTATATTTCACCAACAGAATCTGCTTTCCTATATCCTCACCAACACTGGTTATTATAACTCTTTCTCTTTGATAGATTGAGAAACAAAAATTATTATTTTAATGAGGTTACTAGTGAGTGATAATTTTATTATTTATAAACTATATTATTTGTAGATGGCTTGGTCATATCCTTTGTCTTCCTTTTGTGATTATCTTTTTCTGATTGATTTATAGGGCTCTTGTACTTATCAAGAACATTAACCTTTTGCTTTCTAATTTTGTTTCTGTATGTTTTACAAAGTATGTATATTTTTTTGGTAAATTTAAAAAAAATTTACTCCTGAAATTTTAAGTGTAAAAGCTCAAGCAAATAAAAGCATTGTTATTCAATGAAAATAAAAACATTATTGACTATAAATCTAAATAGCCCTACCCAAAATTTATGTAAGTGCCTAGAGACCTTAGATCCTTCCTTATGATTTTGCAGTTTTCAATTTTATAAGGAAAAAAAGCAACATCAATATTATTTAAATCCAAACTACTTACTTTTTAAGAAATAGGTAAGGCCATATTTAGAATTCTTTAGTTTTAAAATAGATTTTATGTTTTAAACTTGTTTTGCCAGCTTGGGAAAGCTGACAGTCTCTCCACTCTGACAGTCTCTCCTTGACTTCCTATTCTTGCCGCTGTACTAAGTGTCTTTAATCTTGTCTTTCAATTATTTTTTTAGTTCTTATGAAATTGCTTATTTTTATTTTATTCTTGCACAAGACTGATCCAATAGTGGTTAATACCTAATTATATCACCACTAGATGGCAGAATGGAATAAGTCAAATCTGTAGTCTTTTGACTGTGTGTGTGTGTGTGTGTGTGTGTGTGTGTGTGTGTGTGTGTGTGTGTGT